TGAGGCGATCAGTGAGGGGGTCCTGTGGCCTGGGCGGCCACGAGAGAGCCCGGCACAGGTGTGCGAAGGTGAGTACGCGCTGGTCTCAAGCAGGCTCACAAACACGGCCCACCCTGCGTGCCCCTCACCTGCCCCGGCCGCTCTGGGCTGCACGCAGTCCGGCGCCCGCGTTCAGCCCCCGTACGATTTTCCACCCCGACGCCAAGAGGGGCGCCTGCCCAGAAATGGGGATCCGGAACCCCGCGTGCCCATTCACGCCCACCCCCTCCCCAGACGCCACGCAGGTTGGGCCGGATTGTGAAGGAGGCGGCCGCCACGGTCGTCGAGAAAGCAGCTTCAGCCCGGCCACGCGAACCTCTGGGGCGGCCCAGGCCAGGGGGTCGGGGAGAAGAGACTCCCCACTTCTCGCCCCGAGACGGGCGGGGCCCGAGAGAGCTGACAGCCGAGACTCAGGGCCAGGCGTACAGCCCCGGGGGGCTGCGGGCTTCTTAGGCTGAACTCAAGGGTAGGTGGAGGCCAGACCACTCAGCCGTGGGTCTCCCCAGACACCATCCCACCTCCCCGCCTCGTCGGCGCCAGCCTGGAACTGCAGCACGCCCACACTGGGGGCCGGAGCAGGGCTGCAGGCCCGCTTCCGTCTGGAGACCCACCCAGAGCTCGGTCTGGCCTTATAGCTCAGCACTCGCCATTCCCTCCCTCGTAAGAAAGTCTTGTAAGTTAGCAGTTGAAGAGTGGAAGGTAGGTAACCAGACTGGGAGTTTTCTGGAAGGCGTCTTTCTTTCTTTTATTATGGTTTTTTCATCATCATCACCATCACCGTTGTTTCATGTTTTATTATGGTTTTGGTTTTATTTTTCCTCCCCCTTTCTCAGCACATCCATTCCTTCCGGCACATTCCTTGGTTGGTTTTTCCACTCCTGCCTGATTCCCCCGGGCACTTTTGGTTGGGGTGGCTGGTCAAGAAATAGGGGAGGGGACCCCAAGTATCTAGTTTTGGAGGACGGAGCTCCAGTATTTCACTTTGAGTCTGGAAGGTCATTCTAGTTGAAGTAATCCATCCGCGTGGTCTCTGGGGTCTCCCGTGGCCTGATGTCTTTGAAGACAGGGGCCTCTGATTCATCTCTGGGTCCCAGGGTCCAACACAGGGTGTGCATGTAGTAAGCACTCTATACGCACATGCTCAGGGAACAACGGGCTGGCATGATGGTGAGGGTCCTCTGTGCCTTGATGTCGGACAAGGCCGGCGACCTTTCTGGGCCTTCCTCCAGGCCAAGTGGATGCTAGAGAGCCGGGCACCTGAGGGAGTGTGGCTCCAGCCATCCTCACCTGGCCTGAGCTGATAGAGGGCATAGGCTTAAGTCAGAATTCCCAGCCTCAAACCGAGACAGCCCTGGGACAACAGCTGAGCCTGGGTTCAAGTCTTGCCTCTTGCCATGTGCCCTCGGGCAGGCAGCTTGCTGTCTCCTGACCTCGTTTTCTTCATCTGTAAAACGGGAAGTGATACGTGAAAAGCCCCCAGGATGGGTGGGGTCTGGCACCCACTAGGCACTTAACAGATAATAGAAAACCAGGCAGATAAGCTTTGAAAGTGGTTTCCCCACCTGTAACATGGGGTGGGGCTAGAGGGGTGATAGTTCCGGCCCCCTGGGGGGGGGGTCATGAGAATTAAATGAACTGTGATCAGTGGGGCGAATTTTGTGTCTATAAAGCAATTAGGGTGCTGGGTATGCAGAAGGTGCATAGAACATGAGGCTAATTACCAGTAATGTCCTTAACACAGGGCCTGGCCCATAGTAGGTATTCAACACATGGAGGCTATTACTGTTATTCTGTAAAGCCCTTAACACATACAGTACGTGCTTAGTATGTGGGAACTGTCACCGTTAGTCAACAAAGCCCTTAGTACATTGCCTGGTATACAGTAGGTGCTCCATATATGCAGCTGCTGTTTTAAATTAAACATGGATTGGCACAGTGCTGGGCATATAGTTGGCACTCAGTGAATGGAAGCTATTAGCAGTTTGTCACACTATTAGCAGTTTGCCAGGTACACAGTAGGTACCCAAAATGTGGGGGCTACCATTATGCTTCTGCAAAGCTCTTGACACAACGCCTAGCTAGCATGCAATAAGTGCTCGATAAGTGGCACTTTATTTAAAGAGGTTAGCCTATGCTAGGCACATAGTAGGTGCTCAGATGGGAGCCATTATCAGTCCGAAAGGGCCTAACGTGGTGCTGGTACAGTTAGTGCTCAAAACATGGAGTTATTATCTGCAAAGCCCTTGGCACTGTGTGTGCAAACAGTAGGTGCTCAATAAGAACTAGTACTGTTTTTATATAAGGCTCTTTCCATAGTGCCTGGCACACAGTGGGGATTTAATGTATGGGGACAACTGCTGTAATCCAGTAACAACAGTTGTTAGCACACAGTAGGTTCTTAAGAGGTGAGAACTATTAAAGTATCCTTAGTACAGTGCCTTGCACATAGTAAGTGCTTAAATATGAGGGAATGGTTGTTTTTCAGTTAAGCCCCAACACAGTACCTGGCACACAGTATGTGCTTAATATGTGAGGATTTTTCCTTAATATGTGAGGGCTTTATCTGATAAAGTCTTCACCACAGTGCCTGGCACACAGTAGGTGCTGCATAAAAGGTAACCGTTATTTTTATCTTTAGAGGGCCATTATGATACCCACCCCGGAGTACACACTCAATAAATGAGACTCGCTGTTGCTCTGTGATGGGCTTAGTGTGGTGCCAGATGCACAGTAAGGGCTCAAAACAGAACTCTGACCTATAAAGACCCTGGCACACAGTAGGTGCTAAATATGGGTTGCGTTGTCTGTAAAGCATTGAGCCTGGGACCAACACAGCAGATGTCTAATAAACAGGCACTTGTATTATTCTATACAGCCCTTGGCATGCTAACTGGCAGACAGTAGGTGCCTAAGACATGGGCATTATTTTCAAGTGGGCCAAGAGGGTGGTCCTGGTTGCAGTGGTTGAAGTAAGCTATTGGGGTGGCCTTTGGGGTCTCTGGTAGAACAGGTGTTCAGTAAATAGATGCTCTTACTGTTAACCTGGGAAGCTCTTAGCACTGAGCCTAGCGTGCATTAGGTACCCAATCAATGGGGCTTCTACTGCTATCTCTAACACTGCTGTTGCCCTGGCACGCAGTAGGTGTTCAGTAAGTAAATGTGTTCACTGTTATTCTGTGAAGCTCTTAGCACCATGCCTGACACATAATAGGTACCCAATAAGTGGGGCTTTTATTGCTATTACCTAGCACAGTGCCTGACACACAGGGTTCAATAAATATTTTACTGTTATTGTACCAAGCCCTTGGCATGGCGCTTGGCATATAGTAGCTACCTAATAAATGGGACTTTTATTGCTTTTCCACTTGGCACGGTGGCTGGCACGTACCAGGTGCTCAGTAAATAGGGCTTTTATTGCCATTTCCCTGGCACACAGGAGGTGTTCAATAAATAAATGCATTTACTGTTATCCTGTGAAGCTCTTAGCACCGTGCCTAGCATACAGTAGGTGCCCAATAAATGGGGCTTTTATTGCCATTCCTCTGGCATAGTACCTGGCACACAGTAGGTGCTCAGTAAATTATTGTGTTTACTGTCATCCCACCCCTGGTGCTGTGCCTGGCACACAGTAGGTGCCCAATAATTGGAGCTTTTGCTATTCCTCTGGCATAGTGCCTGGTATATAGTAGGCGTTCAACAAATAAGTATTTACTGTTACTCCGAAGCCCTCGGCACCGTGCCTGGCGCATGATAGTGACCTAATAAA